ATAAAGCACTGTTTATTTATTTTGAATCGGACTGCTTGTGGTTATATTGCTGGTCCACTCACTCTGCCTTGACTCGTGATAAATATAGGCTTGGAAAGCACATAATATTGCCCCTTTAAACTTTAAGCTAAACTGAGGCAGAAGCATGCACAGTCAGTCTGCACATCCTGTTCCTTCCTGTCTGTTGACCAATAGTAGAGGAGCCGACCCAAGAAGTGACCTTATTTGCATAATGAGGCAGAAGTGCACAAGGCAGGTGTTTTCAAACTGTGGGGTACGCCTCCTCTAGGRGGCGCCAGTGGTTGTGGAGGGGGGCGTGACGTGAATCAGTAAGTGGGGAAATAAATACGTTCCCGCTGCAGGTCTTAGATCAGAATTTTTTTTGCTCAGATATTTTTTTTTCAGAGGTTATCATCATTTCCTCATTATTTAATCATTAACATTAAAACGGGACCTTCTTCGGGATGAAATGTGAACAGTTCAGAGGCGAATAAAAGTTCAGAGGCGACCCGTTGTGTGCACACATTGGGCTTTGTTCGAGGAATCAGCCACACATGCTACATTTGTTGGCTTCTGGGATTCTTCTTGTTAGCGTCGACACAGTCCAACACTAATTTATCAACATCTTGCTGTAGACTTATTGTCATCAGGTCATGTGAAATGAAAAGAACAAGGACGCAGCAGTTGAACCTCTGTTCTGTAGCTGAAGACACAGAGTTCTGTGTTGTAACATTACAGTTTTGGACTGATCCGCTGCCTTATTGATGTTACATGAGCAGTCAGAAGAAATGAGACATTAGCATTCAGAGTCACTTTATAATACATCTGATAAGGCGCATAAGGCCAAAAATAACCRCAGTTTAACCCCATTTACCTGCAGTGTAAAAGAAAACAAAGTTTGAGGAAAAAAAGGACTGTGAGGCAATTAAAATAATGACACACACACATATGTGGATGGGTTTTTCCTTCAACGTGGAGAAAACTTTCCCAGGCTCGCGGGGACCGAAGTGAATTGTGGGGACCAATGCCAGGCCCCCACGGGTCCAAATGCAAATTACGGTTGTGGGGTTAGGTTTAGGACCAAGGTTTAGGTTAGTTTTAGGGTCAGGTAGGTACCTGTGAGGTTAATGTTAGGGTATGCGGTCAGGGTTAGGCTATAAAGTCTATAAAAAAAAATGAATGGAAGTCAATGGAAGGTCCCCACGGGGTTAAGAAAAGTGTGTGTGTGTGTGTGTGTGTGTGTGTGTGTGTGTGTGTGTGTGTGTGTGTGTGTGTGTGTGTGT